TAACTCCCGGATACCGTAAGAGTGCCTTGGGTATACCAAACGTCACAACGTAACTGGGTGACTATAAAGGTGCATTACAGGTATCTCCGAAAGTAGCTGTTGGGTTGACACGGATCGAGACTGGGATTTGTCACTCCGTATGACGGAGAGGTATCTCTGGGCCCACTCGGTAATGCATCATCATATTGAGCTCAATGTGACCAAGGAGTTGGACACGGGATCATGCATTACGGTACGAGTAAAGTGACTTGCCGGTAACGAGACTGAACAAGGTATTGGGATACCGACGATCGAGTCTCGGGCAAGTAACGTACCGATTGACAAAGGGAATTGCATACATGGTTTGATCGAATCCTCGACATAGTGGTTCATCCGATGACAACATCGAGGAGCATGTGGGAGCCATCATGGGTATCCAGATCCCGCTGATGGTTATTGACTGAGAGCGTCTCGGTCATGTCTGCTTGTCTCCCGAACCCGTAGGGTCTACACACTTAAGGTTCGGTTACGCTAGGGTTGTAGGGATATGTATATGCAGTAACCCGAATGTTGTTCGGAGTCCCGGATGAGATCCCGGACGTCACGAGGAGTTCCGGAATGGTCCGAAGGTAAAGATTTATATATGGGAAGTCCTGTTTCGGGCATCGGGACAAGTTTCGGGGTTATCGGTATTGTACCGGGACCACCGGAAGGGTCCCGGGGGTCCACCGGGTGGGTCCACCTGCCCCGGGGGGCCACATGGGCTGTAAGGGGGTGCGCCATGGCCTAATGGGCCAAGGGCACCAGCCCCACATAGGCCCATGCGCCTAGGGTTCAAGGGGGCAAGAGTCCTAGGAGGGTAAGGCACCTCCTAGGTGCCTTGGGGGGAGGGAAAACCCCCCTTGGCCGCCGCACCCCCTAGGAGATTGGATCTCCTAGGGCCGGCCACCCCCCCTTGGCACCCCTATATATAGTGGGGGAGAGGAGGGACTTCATACCTGAACGTCTTGGCCTTTGGTTGCCTCCTTCTCCCTCCCCAACACCTCATCCACCTCCATAGTGCTTAGCGAAGCTCTGCCGGAGTACTGCAGCTCCATCAACACCACGCCGTCGTGCTGCTGCTGGTGCCATCTCCCTCAACCTCTCCTCCCTCCCTTGCTGGATCAAGAAGAGGAGACGTGGCTGTTCCGTACGTGTGTTGAACGCGGAGGTGCCGTCCGTTCGGCGCAGGTCATCGGTGATTTGGATCACGTCGAGTACGACTACATCATCACCTTGCAAGCTTCCGCACGCGATCTACAAGTGGTATGTAGATGCAAACTCTCTCCCTAGACTCGTTGCTTAGATGAACTCATAGATGGATCTTGGTGAAACCGTAGGAAAAATTTTAATTTTCTGCAACGTTCCCCAACATGCGCATCACTTGGGGTTGCTAACTCTAGAGGTCCAAATTATGATAGTGGTGTGGTAGAAGGTGTGGAAAAACCTGAAAAATGGAAAAACATGTCTCTCTGTGCCACACAAAAAAGGTTTCACGAAACCAAGGCTTTAAAGTTGGCCCAAACTCTGAGCTATGTAGATGTGTTATCACGCAACAATGTTAGATCGATGTGTAAGTATGTTCTGGATATGGGCATGTGTTCTGTGTTTGGACTTCAAATTTTCTCTTTTTCGATCAAATAGATATACTAATATATCAGTTCGTAAGTTGGTATTAAATATGGAGTAGCATTCCATACCAACCAAACATTGAAATGCATGCACACCAAGGAAAAAAATAGCGCGCTATTTGAAATAGCGCAGCCTTAAAAAACGCTATAAACAAAATAGCATGCTAATAGCATGCTATTTTGCAAAATAGCGTTTCACAAAACATTATTCAGATTTCAGCATATAGCATACAAATGACAGATATATCAACACAAATGACAGATTTCAGCAGCTAAAACCAAGGCTAAAACATTGTTCAGATAACAAAGCACGGTCCAGATATAGGTATATAGCACTGTTCAGAGTTCATACATTCAGATTTCAGACAAACAAAGTAGACAGATAAATTAAACAGCCAACAAGCAAGGTCCAAAATAGCAGAAATAAGGACTTAGGACTTTAGGAGCCAACCAACAACGATGCAGAAGCTCATTCAGAATCAGATGAACTTGCTGCCATGGCGGCAGCGACCCGAGCAAGAGGATTAGAGGAGGCGACGAAGACACGAAGAGGCGACGTCGACCCGAGGAGGCGGTGCGGCGACCCGAGGAGGCGGCAAGAGGCGGCCGGCCGTTGCTGGAGGAGATGGGCGAAGCACCGGCGGCCGCCGCTGCCACCGTCGCCTCGTTCAATTTGGGAAGGGCTCGCTCGGTAGGTTGGTTAGGGTTCACTTGGCTGGAGGAGAAGATATGCTTGGTTACTGGGCCAGAAAGCTCAAAAGTATAGTGGGCTGATGAAAAAATCGTCTGAAAAAAAAACGCCGTCGAAAAAATAGCGCCGATACACGCTATAACGCGCAATCGCCGTATTTAGCGTGAATAGCGCCGTAGCGAGTGAAATCTACATAGCGTAGCATTTAGTTTCCAGAAACGCTATAGCACGCTATTAGCGCCGCTATAGCGCGCTATTTTTTTCCTTGATGCACACCCATATCACAATCCTCGAATAACAGTAAGATTTGATCCATCCATTCACCTGTATAAATATACAAACCAAGAATGTATACATATTTTGAGAATAGGGGTCAGACCACTTTGGTAAGACACAACTATTGCATAGAGGGGCAGGGAGAGAACCAAGAACCTTGAGGCTTGAGAGGTATCAGAACCTTGAGGCTTGAGAGGTATCAGGAGGAATACCACTTTAATGCAGTCACATAGAAGGCCTTGAACTGCCACAATGGGTGTTGATAGCCTTGAGTTACATGAAGGTGCCAAGTAGGCAGTTAAATGTATCCACATTCCGATGATAATAGAATATGAGTGCTCTCTTCTAGTTGAAGCGGTGATTGCGACATTCCACGATGCAGCAAAGTGGGCTTACCTATTCACGGAGATTAAGGCAACAATGGAGCATATGCGAGAAGTGTGTTTTCGATGATAAAGAGCTGTTGTACTATTTTTCCTCATGAATTAGCTGTGATGCGATGAACAGACTATCGATTTGTGGTGTGGAGGCTTCAACCACAAACATATGTATTGAATCTTCTGCACCAAGAATTTAATCCCCTATTTGATGTCTAATAAAGCTAACTATTTGCCCCAGAAAACACAACCTTATAGAGAAGGTAGTGGATAAACAAATTGTGCAAACTTTAGCAAAGGGAAATTAACTGTAAATTAGAGACTTTAATAGTTCTATCGAAAAAGTTAAAGAACATTATAAACAACCTAACATTCTTGCTTAATATATAGCTTTCCAATAAAAAATAGAGATTCATTCCAAAAGAAAATGAAAAATGCTACTAAATTAACAAAAAAGTAAATATGAGGGGAGTAAAAGTAAAAAAAATGCAGGTCTCTAGAAGGAAACCGAAGTGCACGTGCCGGATCCATTAAATAGGGTAGGCTTGCCGTCCACACATTTAAAAAATCTGAGTAAGAGCAATCCAACAGTTCTACTAGTTTTCCAATTTGAGCAAATGAGCTTGTATAATAACAGAAAAAAACATTGAACGAAGCGTAGCTCAGATGATTAGAATTCTTATATGGTGAAACTAATCCATCCAGATTCAAGCTCTAGACTTGACACATGTTCTCACATTTTCTTGGATATATTTTAGACTTCTCAATGATGTTCATTTCCTCGATCTCAATATGTGACGGCACAGTCTCCGATGCTCATAGGGGTAAGTATGTGTTTTGTATTTCTTATACAAAGAAAAAAGTGAGCATGACTAGTTGATGAGCGCATCTTCGGGAGTCTCACAACGATCAGCGTCACTTGACGCTCTCAGCTGCCCGCCACGTGTCGCGCTCTGGACGCTTCCTCCGGATTTTTTTCCGCACGCGTTTTCGGCTTTTAAACTGTATTTTTTTGACGTTTCGGTTTTTCACCAGTCTCCCTTAGCTTTTGGATAAAAAAACATTCAAAAAGAAAAACACGTTTTCTTTTTCTTTTCTTCCGCGAGAGTCACGATTTTGCTTCCGCGAGAGGCAAGGTTTTGCTTTCGTGAGAGTCATGGCCGTGCCTTTTGGAAACGAAATAAAATGCGTTTTCTGTTTTTTTTCTTCCATGAGAGGCACGGTTTTGCTTTCGCGAGAGGCATGGTTATACTTTCGCGAGAGTCACAGCCGTGTCTCTCGGAAACGGAAAAAACATCCGTGTTTTCCTTTTCATGAGAGGTACGGTTTTGCTTCCGCGAGAAGCACAGTTGTGCTTTCGCGAGAGACACAGAAAAAAAATATGTTTTCTATGTTTTTCTTTCACGAGAGGCACGGCCGTACTCCTTCGAAAACAAAAAAAATTCCTTTCGCGAGAGGCATGGTTTTGCTTCCGCGAGAGGCACGGGTATAATCCAACGAGAGGCACAGACGTGCCTCTTTCGGAAAGAAAAAACCCATACTTCCGGTTCAGTTTTTTTTGGTTTTTTTGTGAAAAAAAACTTTGTCAAATCCTATCAACATGGGATCTAGTTTTGAAAATCTCGGCGGAGGAATCCAACGATGAAATCGGTTCTAAATTTAGACGCGCGGTTTAAGAGATAAAACGTTTTGAATAAATGAATCTACGAAAAGGGAAAACTCTCATGTTGCGACATGTGGCGCATATGCAACACGTCACTCGTCACAACCTAAGAAGATGAGAGTGTTAGTACTCCTCAATTAGTGATTTTGAAAAAAAAAAACCGTAAGACAAACAACGTGCTCGGACGTCTGGCCCAGGTGATATTGAAAAGCCAGTTTCCCGGCCCATGAGAGTGCCCGTGACCCGCAGATGCCCAACCATTCCAGAGCCCTAGCCCATCTGACTGCCACCATTTTCGCCCATCTCCAAACTTCACCTCGCCGCCGCCGAACACACCGGCCGCCATGGGTGAGCGCCTCATTCTACCAGCTCCTCCCCCTCTCCCGCGATCTCGCCGGTTAGCATTCTCGCGCGGACTCTTACGCCCCCGTTTCCGACGAACTCGTGGTTCGCAGGCGCCTACAGGTTCGCGTCGGAGCTATGGAAGAGGAAACAGCCGGACCTGACGAGGCTCGTGCAGCGGCCGGCGACCGTGCGCCGTCTCGGCACCGGGGCCAAGCAGGTTTGGCTTCCCTCTCGGATCCCACCCTCCCTCGTGTTCTTGATGCGAGTAGTGTTATTCTGCTGTATTTTTTGATCTGTGCGGCCGCGTCGCCGTTCGCCTGTGAAATGTGTCTGTGGGAAGACAGGTGCAGCTTTAGGTGACAAATGAATGGCACTTGGTTCTGGTGGATATCTGCACTATGCGGACCTATCGGCATTAATTTGGCATAAAGAAGCTCATCGAAACCCATAGCATTAGCATAAGGCCCATTTGCACATGGCAACCATTTTCATCTCTGGAAACAGTTTAAACAGCACAGCTCCTGCCATACTCTTAGAGCGACATCACCCAGAGGCCACTTAAACTGAAAAAAAGTAGGCGTTTGCGAATTGGAATTTGTATGATCAATTATGATAACAAGATGGAGACGGATTGGGTATGACTAGGCC